TGCTTGGTCCCTTTTTGTTTTTCCAGGTTCTAAGAGAGAATTAAGTAAGATTGATCTATTTTTACCAAAAAGGAAAAAAAAAAAAAGTTTTGTTCTTGGTTTCTCCGAAGATTGATCTATGTTTGATGTGTTCAAATGAAATGGAGAGAAATGCAGTTTGTTTAGTGGGTTGTAATTTTCTGCAATTCATATCTCAATTTGTTGTCAAATTTTCCTTTCACCAACACTATTTCCTCTAATTAATTTCACAATGAGGGGAAAGGGCCCAGCTTGATAAATTTTTTAATTCCCTCTTGTGTAGCTCATTTCTTGGGTCATTTTGTTCTTGATTAGTTCTACAAGGAGAGAGAAAAGGGACCATCTTGATATATTTTGTTTTAGGAAGATGATACGGTCCCGTTACGGAACCATTCTGTCGGGGTTTGTAACCGGTTATATGTTGATCTAATGGTTTGTAACGGGACCTTAGCATTTCCTTTTGTTTAATTTTTCTCCCCCCTCTTGTGATGGCTTCTTGCAGTCCATATCTACTATTATACTTCTGCTTGTCATCAGTTTTTTATATTCCTGAGAATGTAAAGCATGCTACTTTATGAAGGGGATTTGATAATTACTTAAATGAAAGTTGAAACATTCTGGTGTTTGTGTTATATAACTGCTTCTCATTTTATTTAGAAAGGGTGAGTGTATCCTTTAAAGAGGGATGATAAGTGTTTTATTGTCTGATATTGTTCATAGTTTAGGTGAAAAGAACTCGTGAAAACCCGAATGGATATCTTTAACCTGAAGAAATTCAGAAATGCCCAAAAGTCCAATGCAAAGGATGTGGGGCAGGATCAGCCGGAGGAGCCCAAGAACACAAGCACCGGTTTATTACCAAGGGGCAAATCGGTAAATTTGGATCCGGCCGACAATGCTGGGACAGAAGAAGATGATGACGATGATTTCATCTTGAATGAGGTGAAGAGGAGGCTCAAGGAGTTGAGGAGGAACAGCTTCATGGTGTTGATACCCGAGGAGACTTCCCCGCCAGCTGGCGAAGAGGAAGAGGACGAGGAAGAGGGAGAGACGAGCTCAAGCACTGAGTGGAGGGATGTTGAGGCTGAGGGCCGCCAGTTCTGGTCCGGTTTTGATGCTGTGTACGATGTCTACTGTGATCGCATGCTGTCTTTTGACCGATTGAGCACCCAGCAACTCCTAGAAGTTGGTAATTTGCTGATATACATGCACCTTTTAGGTTTTTGGGGGCTAATTTTAATGACATAAAGTTAATTTGGGTTACATGTTTCTAAGATTAACTCATCAAGTTAAGCGAAAAATTAAATATTTTACTAAAAGAAATGAAATAGCAGTAGGTGCTCTGTATCTTAATGAGAATGAGATGGTAAAATGATGGTCTTCGTAGATATATACATGGTACCCTTTAGAAACTGAAAGGTAAACTTAGAAGTGTTATTTTTGTAATAATAAAACAAAATCAACATATAAAATTTATTATATTTTCTTATTATTTAGAATGTAACATTGGGATTTTGTGTTTTCGGAGAGCTGCTATCTAAAGTTGCTTGTGTTGATGGGGCCATTGGGGAGTTAAAAGCATAGCAAGAATGGATGACATCATCTGAGTGTTCTGAAAAATCTTGATAAAATTTAAAAAAAAAAAAAGAAGAAGTAGAAATTTGGTGTTCTTTTGTGATGATTGTATGGATTGTGGCCTTGTGGGGTCTGTACAGGCTGTCACGTTCCTTCGACTCCATCACCCAGACCCGTTTCTAAAAGGCTGGGATCTCCCTTTGGCTGCCTTTCCCTGAGAAAGTTTGAGGTGCCGGAAGAGGAAATTGAGCACTTGCAGCAACCAATGAACGACCCGTATCAAGAACTCGAGACTTCGTATGTTGGTCAAGTGTGCTTGACTTGGGAGGCACTACACTGCCAGTACACGCAGTTAAGTCAGAAAATTGCTTCCCAGCCCGAAAGCCCCACTGCCTCTTATAACCATAGTGCCCAGCAGTTTCAGCAATTTCAGGTCCTACTGCAGAGGTTTATTGAGAATGAGCCGTTTGAAAGGGGCTCTAGGCCTGAAATCTATGCTCGGACGAGAAAGTCATTGGTAAAACTGCTCCAGGTTCCCAAGATTCAAGGTATAGGTGCTGATATAAAATCCCAATGGTGATTATTGTTCAATTTTTGTGGAGAAGTTTTTTGAGTTCAACATGTCTCTTAAATGTTAATCGCAAGTAATGTTCTGCCGGCTTCTATAATCCGAGATGGCTAATCGTAATCCTACATGCATTCAAATGTTTCTGAACCCACTTAACACTTTAATTCTTATTCTTTCCCATGGAAAATAAACAGAAAAATGTATAATTGTGTCTGTGCTGTGTCTGGTTTGGAGTGAGATGTTCTTTTATACTTGAAGATAAATAGTTCATCGCTACCATGACATGAGATCATATCCTTATGCCCAAAAGAAGAACAGAAAATCAGAGAAATTTCCAAACTTGATATGAAAAAAATAATTTTGATTTTCCAGATTATAATACACCGCAATTTTCATTCTCTTGGTTATGCTTATAAAAAAAATTGTTGCCAAAGAGTTGTTCAAGTAGATTAGAAAAATTTGCTTAATTATTGATGTCCTTGTCCATTACCATACCTGTTCTGTTTATATTACTGAATATTTTAAAATCATTGGGTTGAACCATTTTATTCGTTAGTCATGCATGCCATTTTTTGATATCTTTTGAAGACTTGATTTTGTGTTTTCAGCTTCCGAGGTGAAAAGCAAGGGAGGAGAAGAGGCTTCGGATTTCTTGGTTCTTACCACGGACTTGATCAGAGTTATCGAGAGCTCCATCTTGAGTTTCCACCAATTCATCAAAACGGACAAGAAAAAGTCGGGAGGTGTGCGCAATGTGTTTGGAAGTCAGAATCAGATGTTTATACCCGCTCAACATGTTCAATCTTCTCTTGAAAAGGTGACACTTAACTCTTGACTTGCTTTACCTTTACCCGTTCCTTTCAACCATCAGCTTAAGCTGCTTCTTTTGCACAAAACAATTCAGCAGCATCAACTCGAGTTTTTTCGTTCAGTTGTATTTTCTTGAGACTTTTCTGAAGCGGCTTGATGTCAAACCAAGCTCTTATTTCATTTTTTTAATTAACAACAAAAACTGAAATCCAGTTGGAAAGACAACAACAACAACAACAACAACAACAACAACAACAACA